CTGGACTCATTTGTGGTACACTATCGTAAATATGGATAGGTTTTGTCAACACAAAGCACAATAACAACCCTATTTCCACCATTGTACCTTTATACATTTAAAAAATTATTTATTAGTCTCATCAAGCACTATTGTAAATGGAAAACATATGAAAGCTTTATGATTAAAGAAAGACAACAAGAGATTGAATGCCTGCATTTTTTTGTTTGTTTTTCTCATTTGCCAGAAAGCTAGATATACTGTACTAGACAAACATCCATAGAAATCGACAAGAACTTGTAGTGTGCAAAGTTTGACGGTTCCCAAATCTTCAGGAGCTGAGCACGTTAAGCTGGAGCCACAGAGGAGACTTCCGTTTTTGACGTGGATACTTCCGAGCCATCATCTACTTGTTTGCCAAAGAGCTGCATGATGCATGTGCGAAACTGATGAAAGATAGCGAAAAAGGATTTCTGAAACAAAGTTGGCGGATTTGAAATACGGAGCAGGTTGACCATTACCTGTCGATTCATGAAAACATAGATGATCGGGTTGTAGATCGTGGCGCTCTTGGCAAAGTACGCCGGCATCGCTGCAGCGAGAGGATGGAAAGCATATCCAGGATTTGCCGCAGCAAAGCAGGCAAAAAAGGTGTACGGTCCCCAGCAGAAAATGTATGCCAGAATCATGACGACAACCATTCTGGATACTTCTCTCTCCGCTTTCTGAGTGGACTCCGATTCCTTCTGCTGCAAGGCAACCTGCGACAAACAAGCGGACGTTGCTTGACTCAGGCTGGGAACTGGGATGCACCGTATTATGCCGATGATTTCACAAACTTACAGTTCGGATAGCCCACCAGACAGCAAAGTAGCACAGCATGATGATAGCCAGCGGGATGAAGCAACAAGTAATCATAAGAACGATCATGTAGGACTGAACACCGGGGTCTTCGCTTCCACTGAATACATCAGGTCCGCAGGAGGTCTTCAGTCCATGAGGCCAGTACCTGACAGGACACAATCATCGGTTTCTGTGTCCACTGATCGCTCAGTGCCAGCGCAGTCATGCAAAGTTCATACCTGCTCCATCCAAAGATCGGGGGAGCACACCATACGGCTGACCAGATCCAGGAGAACACAATTCCGCCTGTTGCCCACTTGGCATCAAATTTGATGTTTCCAAATGGTTTGCATACCACTATCCATCTCTCCCAGGAGATGATCGTCAGGGACCAGAGAGCAGTGATACCTGTGCGACAAGCAGCATTCTCAGTCGAGGAAAGTTGTAGTCACACTTCCAAATCCCGTCGCGGGCCACTCACCACAAACTGAGACAGTGTACACCTCAAATATGCACATTGGGTGCCCGAGAATAAAATACCCAAAAAACTGGTTACAAACACTGATAGTGCTGGCAAAAACCGTTTCTCCCAGATCAGCTATGGCGAGATTGACCAGAATCCAGTTGAGAAATGCCATGATAATGTTAAATATTTTGTTGAGTTCACAAAAGTTGTAAAAGCACATTACTTTATTAGAATATTTTTTTTGTTGTTGTTTTTTAACATTGCGAAAACATTCATTGATATTATTTACAACTGACTGACTCTTTAGTGGCATAAAAATCAGCAAGTGCACCCTCTAAGCAGGCCCAACTTTGGAGACTTCGGTCACTGAAGTTGTTGATGATGATGTCTCTTCTTCACTACTACCCATTCCCAGCATCTGCATCATGCATGAGCGGAACTGTTGTGAAGCAAAGAAAAATATGAGCAGTGAAATCATCAATAACAGACTGGACTCTAGCTTTTTGAGCAGCAGATATATGGCTAATCCAAAAAAAAAAAATCAGTTACACTATGAATTCATTGCACATACAGCGCATTTGACAATAAAGTTGTACTTGACTTGACTTGAATTCAAACTGCACAGAAGCAAAAAATGTAATTACTCAACGAGTATCTAAAACACTGCAGTCTTTTCTAATTAGTTATCCGGGGGTTTATTCACCACAGAACCCCCTATAAGTGTGCAAGAATTTTAGGCACAAGACTGCCGTCTTTAAATTGCCAATTCCACAAACAAAACCCGATGCCGTCGGGGAATTAATGAGAACTAATCCGAATGCCATACTGTACCTCTGGTATTATTGCTGTTTGTGTAAGCAAACGCAGATTCCCTTGTCGTCTCGTGGTATCGCCTGGCGGCAAAGGACGGTTTATCCCAGGCCTCCGCCATGATGATAGCACAAGGAGAAATGTTCTCCCTTTCTCGCAACTTGCACGTGTCTTTAGCTTTTATACTTTTGCTGCAGAGAACTCTGATTGGATTAAGTCAAAATTAAATCACAGCCGTTGAATGGCGCTTTGCGGCAATCCGCAAGCCAATGAGCGGCAACTGTAATTAAAACCAGGAGTAATTGGGTTAAGACACCAAATGCCATGAATAATCTTGTTGGAAAGCAGATTTCCATCCGCTGACTGAAGATGCGGATTATTTGGTGAGCTCTATACGTAGAGTGTAACACAAATTTGGGGTGGCAGTAGCACATCCGTACCAACTCAGGCTTTGGAACCCAACGTTTAAGTCCTACCGCAGACAAACGTGAATCCCTTTGAACCAAGAAATGCCAACCTCCACCCCGCCCTTAGAGGTGCGGGTATCTGGTGAGTGTTTATCCCTTGTGGGTCGACACAGAAGTAATTGTCGTGTCACTCGCTGTCCTGTGAAAAACATATATGCACATTTTTGTAATTTTGAAAAAATGTTAACAAGGAACCCCGTTAATGTTTTTTTTTTTTTTTTTAAAGGACCAAAGTGTACATATGTGTTTTTCACAGGACAGTGACGATTTGGAATTAAGCAACTAAAATATACAGTAAAAGGGCAGACTTCTGCCCTATCCTCTTCTTTGTGTGCATCTTCTTTTCTGTCCTTTGTTCAACATTCACTGATGTAACAATTCACCACTGTGTGTGTGTATGTGTGCGTGTGTGTGTGTGTGTGTGTGTGTGTGTGTGTGTGTGTGTGTGTGTGTGTGTTCACTACTTTCCAGCATGTACTGTGGGATACACCGAGGGCAGTGTAGAGGGGATAACCACTCCACCTCGCTCCTTCTAACAGCACCACCGCATGGCAAACTGACTATCTAGGCCACTATATTAACGCGACCGTTGCGGTTGTTGACATGTGATGGAAGGAACACACCTACCCAATAATCTCCCTGTAAAGAGAGTTCACCTCAGAGCAGGACTGTTCAACACCCTTTTGATCCGAAACGCTCACGTCATCGCCCTACACCCTTTTGATCCGAAACGCTCACGTCATCGCCCTCGTGGAAAAGGCAAAGTGACGGTGATTAACACATTGTGATTTCTTTTGTGCGGCCAAGAAGGTGAATGCGTTTGGTGTACATACAAACACACTAATTCATGACAAATAAGGCAACGCGTGATATTTATTCCAGCAACCATGAATAAAGTCATTTACAGGATTTTTACTTTTGACACTCATCAATGTCATGATCAGAAGCATCTGTTCAAATTCTGCCACGTATTTATATCACAACCTTTCTCTTCACTCTCATCTAAATCTATTCCATCATTAGATCTATTTCAGCCATCATTTTCCTCATTCCTCCTTAGGGCTGCACTCATTGTTTTTGTACAGTATATTGATATGTCTGTGTATGTTGTAAATATTACATGTATTGTATTGCTATCAAGCTAATTGCAGGAAAAGAACGAAGCTTTTCAAAGTGTGTTTGATTATCTGCGATTGACCAGGTTGTCATTTCAGTTCACAGCTTGGGCTTGAATCTGAATTGAGCTGAATGGTACCTTTCTTCTTCCTGGGTCAGTAGCTAGTTTCAAATCTTTGACAAGCTGTTTTGAACATCGAAGCAGTCTGTCGGCCTGAAGAAGAAGGAAATAGTTGATGTGGAAAGTAATAGAAGTCAAACAGGTAGAGCAACAGTTGACCACTGATGGTCCTTTTCCACCGTGCTTGTGCTCGAGCTAGTTCCCGGCAGATGCCCAGGATAGCACCACTTCTTTCTTTTTCCGCAACTGAAATTGGCTCTCGCTCTCACTTCGGTGCTTGAAACTGGCCCCAATTATTTGTTGGGCCAGATTCTGGCACCAACTACGTCAGGGGGCAAGGGTTATCATGACAATCGCAGCTGTAGAGGAAGGACTCCCTGGACGCACGGAAATTTTGCACCAACTGTTGAGTGGTGAACTCCAGCACAATTGCGTCCCACCAGAAGAGCGATGGTGGATGTCCTCACCGTTACGTCACCCTGCTGCCACCAGCCTGCCCAGTTCTGTGAATTATAGTTTGCGCATACAGGTTTATTGACGAGTCGCAACCTAAAGCAAATGTGGGACCAACTGTTTGTCCTCTAAAAAAATCTGGGTGACCGTGTGAAATACACCTCTTATGCCCCAACTGTCTAAAGCAGATTATACGGACAACTCAGGTCTCTCCACAGAACAGATTACCGTAGTTTAATTAGGTCTGACAATTTAATCTCTCCGGAATAAATCAGAGTTTAACCGGAACTGCTTGGCACGGTTTTGTAATCCGTTCTGTGTTTTTCAGATGTTCACTTCTTGCACAGATAGATGGCTTGCATATTTGATGCCGCTTAATGACTGGTGAGGACTTCTCCTGCTGATGGATGCCTTTCAAGGGGGTTGGAACACATTTGCCGTTTAACTCATTTATCTAACCACTGCATCACTAACTGCATGTTTTGCTTTTCTTGCAAATGGCTCTTTGTTGTATTCTATCCAGAGGAGAGTTGACGGCTCAACTCTGACGTTTCGAGGGCAAGTCTGGAATTCCGCTAGTTCTGAACTATTCCCGTTCAGTAAAAGTTCACTACTAGCAGAACTCAGATTTACTCCCGATTACCAACAAGAGTTGAGACTCTTCAGGACCGCCGATTACCAGGCTGATTTTGGAATAATCTCTTGATTCGTGGGTTGGCACTATTTTTTAATTTTTAATTTGAGGTTATTTTTTACACTGATGTGAACTGAACTGTAGGCAACTTTTCCAGTCACGTGTTCATTTGACATCAGGTAATAACCTCCTTGCCAGTCAAGTGCAAAATGTCAAATTTTACATTTGATTGAAGAGACAATCATAACCGCATGGTTCTCTTTCGTCCTTTTGTTTTTGAAGGAGCCAGACTGGTAAGTAAATGAGTGTATCATGCTCGGTGGTGTGAATTCATAGATGAAAAGGGTGATCATGATTTGAGGTGGCTTGCAACAGGTCAGCACTATTTGAAAGTGAACGTTACTGTGAAAAGGGCTAAGTTGTAGTCCAAATGAGATGGCTTGTTGCTGTCAGTTGTGTGTTTCTCCCAATGTTCTCCCGTTATTGTCCATGCTATAGATAGGAATTCCTTCTGAGGATAATCAACACGGCACCATCAAGAGGCATCAAGAGGTCTGCTCATGCCGCATCATGAGGACTGCTCATGCCGCATGTTTCTGCAGACAGAGTTCATATGAAATGTGATTTAAAACAAAAAAAAGTGTCAACTTAGATGTCAATTTTTTTTTGGGGGGGGCAGTTTATCTCTCGCATTAATACACATTATAATATACAGAATTTTCTCTATAGCCAGTAAAATATCCAAATGTGTTTCGTCTCTGCATCGGTGCTCTTACTTTGGGGCGCGGCGCATCCAGACCGGAAGAGGGCACTTTTCATTCGCTGACTGAATGTTTTCAGAGGTGAAGTAGGAACGCTATCGTTGTTTGTTTCATGTCTAATAAAATCATTTTTTCTTCATACAGTAGACACATATTTGTAATTGACATGTTTATACTGTAAAACATCTCCATGTTTTTACATCAATAAATGTTCAGACTGTGTTATATGTTGTAGTTGGCAAATGGAACACTTGAAATTGTCCCTGGTGTAATTGTGAGCGTGAATGGTTGTTGGTCTCTGTGTGCCCTGCGATTGGCTGGCAAGCAGTTCAGGGTGTACCCTGCCTACTGCCTGAAGACGGATGGGATGCACCCGAGGTGATCTTTGGGAACCAGGAACGGGTGCAATAAAGTGATGGTGTTGGTCTCTGAAGGAATGGGGACACAGAAGTCATCCTCGAGCTCCATGGGAGGATTTCTTCTCATTTTTCTCTCGTGTGTTTGTTTTGTGAGCAAAACTGAAAATAAGAATTGTCAATTTTTTTGAAGTGCAGATCCTCTCACATTTGTATATCTCTGTAATTGTGGCCTAAAGTTGTATTTGTGGGAACTTTGAAAATGACTTAGGCTTCACTTAATTGGTTTAAGGCAGGGGTGTCAAATTCATTTTTGTTCCGGGCCGCATTATAATTACTGTTTCCCTTGGAGGGCCGTGATGACTGAAACTGTATAAAGAAGTCAAGAATAACGTTTTATTCAATTATTGTTTAAGTAACTGTAATGAGGGGTTTGGTAACAAGAACATTTTTACCCTATGTCACTGATTTATTACATACGAAAATGTGAAATTTTGGTACAGATTTTAGCAATCATCGTAGAAGTTGACATGTTAAATATGCTTTCGCGGGCCACATAAAATGATCTGGCGGGCCAGATCTGACCCCTGGGTCTTGAGTTTGACATATGGGAAAGTTTTAAGCTCCCCAAAAAAAGCACACGCAACCCACGGGTGTGCATACAGTATATGTTGTAATTCAAACACACACATCATGTCCATTTCTGACCCATTTGCCTTGAGCTAACAAAGATACAGGACGCGACTGACTGTCAAGAATGATTTACCCGTTTTACATGTGGGAGAACTTGATTTGAGTTGTAGAAATTCTCACACCCTTTCTTTGCTATCATGACCAGATGTAACAAAAAGTTTTAAAAAAACCAACACACACACACACACACACACACACACACACACACACACACACTTTAAAGAAATGCCATGATAATGTTAAATATTTTGTTGAGTTCACAAAAGTTGTAAAAGCACATTACTTTATTAGAATATTTTTTTTGTTGTTGTTTTTTAACATTGCGAAAACATTCATTGATATTATTTACAACTGACTGACTCTTTAGTGGCATAAAAATCAGCAAGTGCACCCTCTAAGCAGGCCCAACTTTGGAGACTTCGGTCACTGAAGTTGTTGATGATGATGTCTCTTCTTCACTACTACCCATTCCCAGCATCTGCATCATGCATGAGCGGAACTGTTGTGAAGCAAAGAAAAATATGAGCAGTGAAATCATCAAT